TAGGATCTTTAATTCGAACTACCTAGTCCGTGCCATGTGTAGCGAGCATGGAGTTCGGACTAAGGGGGATTTAAAAATGGGTGCGCCTGGGAAGATGCAAATGAAGCCTGGGATATTTAAATCCCGGGCTTCATTTGCAATTCCGGTTGCCCTCATTAGCCTACCTAGCTCGAATTAACGAGCTAGAGTAGACATACCCTCACAGGGCATCTCTGCCAATATAGCATCGAAGAGACAAGGTAGGTAAAGTAATATCTTTTATTGGACCAAGTCAAGTCTGTTGAGGAGAAAGCTTGAAAGTTTGTCTGTCTAGTGCAGACATGAGGAAGAGCTGTGTAGCAAAAACATTTTCTCTCTCTCCAACAGCAGTTGGTTCAAAAAAAGGTGAACCCTCACCCACCTTATCTTTTTAATGTCCGAGGACCAAAACTACAAGAACACTGCACTGGAACATTTTCTTTCCTAAATGCTCATATAGGCTCCATAAGGCTGGCAATAGGAATTATTTCTGAGACTTCGTAAATTCATGTAATTCAGAAAAAAATCCTTAATTCTCATGATGGAAAAACTTTTAATATGGGAGCAAATATTTCCCACAGCAATCTTGGCTTGTAAGCAAAAGGGCAAGAAGTGTTCAGGGTAATCTTGGGCTCAAATACTGAACTGCTGTAAGGCTGATCAAACCTCAATAGTTTTGGTGAGAAGGTGGCTGTTGAGGAAGCAGCTGTCATATTTGAACAAAACAGTACTGGCAGGTTTTTGTGCTGGTCTGTATCACTGTGTGAAAGGGTAGCTGTAATGCTGCAGGCAGTAATACTCTCCAGCATCAGCAGCTTCAACCCTGCTGATGGTGAATGTGAAGTCGGTGCCAGACCCACTGCCACTGAACCGGTCTGGGACCCCAGAGACACGGGAGGAAGCATAATAGATAAAGAGCTTCGGTGCTGCTCCTGATTTCTGTTGGTACCAAGCCTGTGAGGCTGGCACTGGCTTTGCAGTTGATGGTGACTGTGTCTCCAGGAGACACTGCCAGGGATTCTGGAGTCTGAGTCATCACAATCTGCCCGCTGGAGTCTGAAGTTAAAAACAGAATAAAAATGGATAAATGTTTAATACACAGTAGGTCCAAGCAAATAAGCTATTTCTTCATAGTCTCCTGTGCACATTCCCTATTTCGGAGAGCCCTTGACTTGACAGAGAGGCCAATGTTAGATTTGAGGCAGCCATGCCATTGTAATGCTCTTCAGTGACTCATTTAGGGCACATCGGAGTCAATGGAAAGACTCCTGTGCACTTGAATGGGCTTTGCATCTGGTCCAAATGTATTTAATAAGGTCTTGCCTTCTTATTGATACTTAAATTGAGACAAAGATGCTCAAAGCTAATGGAAATAGGGATTTTTAGATATTTAGAATTTGCTAATTAAAGTCCCTACATGCTTTCATTTCTCTTTAAAGCAGGATCTTGCTTATAACTATGCCCATTCGCTCTAGATTTGGTCCTTACCTTGGATCCAGAGCGCTATCAGCCAGACAAGGTGAGCCTGTAAGATCATCTTGATGTGTCTGACTGACCAGATGCTGATCACTGCAGTGTAGCAAGCCACACAGAACATTTTAAACTGTTCAGAGCAGCTGGGGAAATTACTTTGATGAGCAATATGCAAATTTGTGTTAAATATGAAAATTTCCATTTTATCCAAAGCATTCAGAAAAAGGGAAGGGATGAGGTATTAGTGTAATGACAAGCTCAACTCAACATGGCCTGTGGTATTTTGTGCTGAATTGGGAATTATCATTGTTGTAGATTATGCCTATGAAATGGCAGCACCCAGAGACCTTAATCAGGATCAGTGCCTCATTGTGGCAGATGGCGTATACAAGCACACAGTCCTTGAGATCCCTGCGATCCGTGCCCCACAATGGCAGATGTTGTAGGAACACACTGTTCCCAATGCTTGCGTTCTGTTGAAATAGCACTTCACAGGGATGGATGGAAATAAGTGGCCACAGCTCAGCATTGTTGCCTTGATCCCAGGTTAGACTTAATGAATTTAGGTTTATTGTTATACTAGAAATCAATGGTGTGAACGTCATCATTAGGGGGAGGAGGGGCGAGGCGGTGACGTACACAGCCAGGGGGTGGGGCTGTCTATGTCAGCGCTCCCCCCCGCGCGGTGGCCCGGCTGAGGGGCGCACCCCACAGCGCCATGGCGAGAGGAGGAAGGGGGGGTCATGACGTACACGGCCTCGGCCATATACATCACCACCCCGTGCCCCTTCCTGTCCCACCAGGGCTCAGCTGAGCGGCGCAGTGCCAGCACCACTCAGCTGGGCTGCAGCTGGGGAGCAAGCAGCCATTTGGGGTCCAGCTGTGGCCAGTGGCTGAACCCCCCCCCCCAGGTCTGCCTCCCGCCCCCCTCCCCCCATCCAGCCTCAC